TAATATTTCTATAGGTTTATTATATTAAGTTTTAATAACTTTTTATCAATCATTTATAGTTTATTTTAATAAAAATAATCATAGCACAGGCTGGGAATACCAGGTGATAATCTATTTTATATTGAATTCCTTTTTAATTTCACTAAAAATAACTGGATGGATGGTGTTTACGTTGAAGTTTAAAATAAACATTCCCAGTTACATATTGAACGATCAGATAAGTTTATAACGAGCTAAATAAAATATTTTTATAAACGTATTATATTGCGATATACTGCTTATTTTTTCTAGATATTTAATTAGTATTATTACTGTAACAGAGTTTTTTTAGGTCTCCCTAGGGTTGGGGGCTGTTGTAGGAGTTTTGAGGGTTTGAATGCTTTACAAAAAATGTCATTACAAACGCACTCCGGTGTCTTGTTAGTAGGTCTCTTCAGATGAAATTATTGAGACAGGTCTCATCATCATTAAAATATTTTATAGTTAGAGAAATCTATAAATCTATTTATATACTATAAGATTTCAAGCTATTTTTACAGTTCTATTCTGTAAGTAATATAAACACCACTATTACCCAATAAAGCTAATATTAGAAACAACCATGAAGCTAAACTTCTGTAATGTAGCTTATTTTTTTAGACAAAAGTTAGTTTTTTTTTTTAATCTTTTTTTTTTTTTTTAACTTATAGTTTAAGTTAGAATTATGTAAAATTATTTAATCCTGGTTATAGGATTTCAAATATCTGGTTACTGTAACCTAAGTGAATTTTTCTTTTTAGGTTTGAAAGGAACTTTAGTTTCTTAGTAATTCAGGTGTATAACACTTTACGAAATAATTGTATATTGTTAGTTACGCGAACACTTACAATTTCGTTGAATCTCTCGAAAGTTTAGTTTACGTCTTTATTTAAATAATATTTTGTTTTACTAAGTAATTTGAACTTATAATTTCAATATAAAAAACCTATTTTATTTTAGAGTTATAAATATGCAAACCATACTTAATTTTTTAAATTATTACAAATTTGAAAAGGTAACGTCATTTTTTTTTTCTTTTTTATACCTGCCAAATATAGTTTGTACGACAAAGTATATAGATATAAAAGATCTTATAAAACAGATAAATATAAGTGCATCTAAACGGAAGTATAAAAAAGTCAGACTAGAGGGTATTAAATTGCAGAACACTTGAAGTGCTAAGAAAAAAAGTAATTCAAAGGAATGCAAGGTAGCCAATTAGTAACTTATTTACACTACTACTGATAGATATACCAACAGAAGTATGTAAAACGGTTTACTTGGGCCGCAAAATCCACCTTACAAGATTTTAGAGTTTGAAGTATATATAAAATATATATCTGATAACGTAGGTTGTAATAAATAAAGGGTGGAGATAACATTTTATTTTAAGTAAAAAAGATAAACGGTTGAACTCTGAAAAAGGGCATACAAAGGTTCGAATTTACCATCACAGTTTAACTTAAACCCAGACCGAAAATAAACAAAGCTATCAACCATTAGGAAAATAAGAAGTAAAAATATAATAAATCTCTTACACAAATACTTTTTTAGTTTTATCAACAACCTTCTTGAAAAGGTCAAAATCTACTTAAAAAAAATCTAAAAATTTCTCGTATATAATCTACAGGTGGCCTGCGACGGGCATCAAACAGTAAAATTTAAATATTTTCCTAAGGTAAAAGAGCCAAAACATTTTAAGTTCGTCTTTATTCTTTTAAGTATCCTGACTAGTTTACCATTAGGACCCATTTCAGGAGTTATTCCCATGGGCTTACAATAATTAAATTTATGACTTCTGACCTAAGAATCTTTTCTGTGCCGTGTCCTAAGGTCTCATGTTGTTGTCAACGGTCATGTTAACCTTTCCTATTGAGACTGAAAAGATCTGAAGGGGGTTGTCCATTTCCTGTAAAAGGCTCTAGTACACTCGGGCTACTTAAAGCGTTCAAAATATCGGAATTCAACGTTAGTAGGTGTATCAGCCACTGGTATCCCTAAATATATATAAAGGTTCCTCATTTGATGGGCACTCTTGCAGACCTTTTCCCTTGATCCACTCTCTTTACATGGGCGTAAGGTTGCCTCAACGTAGTGGCAACTTTCGTCACGGGATCATCAGGTGAATTCACCCTACACATATTTGTTTCAGAAAAGTAAAGTGTTTCGGGCCAACCCTTGTTGGTTTACCTCTGCTTAAGAAGCCTGCATTACATTCTCTGTTGAGCTATAAATCAATCGTAACGAGTCAAATATGCGTGAGTGGCATTACTATCAAGAGCCAAACCAAATTTATTATAGACGTTTGTCTGGCATCAAAAAAAATTCATTGGGGTCAAAAACGCTTATATGCATTCCAATAAATAAATTTGGGATATAAACAGTTGTATAAATATTTTAACTGTGTAATGATAAGAATAGACAAAGTTTTTACCACATTTACAAAAGGTTTAAAAAAATTATTAATTTAATGTGATACATTAAGTTCATTTCCCCTAATATTTAGCTTACACTTTTTCTATACAAACAGCTTATAATATATCTTAAAAAAAATATTAGAAATCTTTTATATCGTTCTTAACAGTATAAAAATAGTTAAGTGAGAACAGTGCAGCCTTACTAAGAGACTGTGGTGTAATATAAATCCACTAACTGATAAACTAGGCCTTCGATATTCAATTGATTCGGTAAAGATAATTTTCAAGTTTTTATTAGTTACTTCACATTGCATTGGTTACCAATAAAGTGGGTCTTAGTTGTTTTTAACTTAAATTTCTTTTATATACTTATATTTTAAAATGATAATATTCAAGAAGGTAAGGCACATTCAAGTGGCAAAATATTAGTAATTAAACTGCTACTTAAGGTCTCTTGTCACTCGTGAGCCAGTTTAGCAGTCAAAAGGTATCGTACTAACCTAAACCGGATAATAGACATTTCCAAATGCTATTTTTAATTTATTAAGAAGACAAATAGATTATCTCTGAGGTCCATAGTGAAAGATATCTTTATATAGCTTGCGATACCGCTCACCCTCCTAGTACATCCTAAAGGCCTACTGAAGAGGCCATCAGTAATTAAGAACTATCGTATACAAGCGTCTAGAGGATAACTAACTTCTGAAAGAATTTTGTAAAGAAATTACCTTTTTTTTACCTTATAACTAAAAGGGTTCTTCTTACAATAAAAAAAAACACTTAAAAATATGAGACACCCTATCACTTAGCTATTTTCTTGCAGAAACTAAACGAAAGCCACGAGATTTTCTTGCACAACTTTTAAACCCTTAAAAATCGTACCAAAACTAACCCTACCGTGAGGTTGAGGACTAGAAAAGTCTGTTATAAACGACTGTGTTATAGAGCAATTTTTTCACCGTAACTTGCTTTTATAAAAAAATTTATTGATAAAAAAAACTAAATCGAAATACTACTTAGGCTAAATTTCAACTAGAGCTTCCCTACTGGGTAAATTTCTACTTCGTTCTGTTAAAGTCAGGGGCTAAACATATTCCTTTATAGCCTCCAAAAAGGTCTTTTGCGGACTATCGAAGTTGGTCTTACCCGAGTTTAGGGTATGACAACTATCTCTATCAAAATACTTGATATCTTTTAAATCCTCATTGAAACTGCAGTTTATTAAGATATAAATTATATGAAGAAACAAAAATCCATGAGCAACAGGGAAAGTCATGACCAAGCGATATAACCCTAGTAAGTCGTATGAAAAAAATCAATAGAAAACGTAGTTTACTTACAAATTAGGTGGATTGTGGCTATTCACTGAAGGCCTCTGGTCTAAGATCAGTATTAGAGTTTCCTGAAAGAACTCTATTATTAAATTAAGATAAAAAGCTGTAAGACTTTAAATACTATTTTTAAACTCGAATTACGCACTTTTTATACTAAAATGTTTACTATTTATATTAATGTAGTATTTAATTAGACCATAACGGCTATATGTAAATTTTAAACCTTCACACATGCGAGTAACACGATTTTTTAAACATATAGTATATAGCATGTGTCGAGGTAAGAATAAGAATGTTACGTTCAAAATAGTAATGAAGAATTGCTAACGCTCTATGTAAAATCAGTTATAGAGAAGTCACAAATGTTGTATTTTTTAAAAATTATACTTAGTGTTTTAGAGCTGAATAAAAGACCTTTCCACTCACAAAAAAGTCATATACTATAAAATAAATCATACAAGCTTATCAAACTGAGCAAATCTTTAAAAGCTTTACCACGCATGTAAGTTATTTGTTGTTGCTCAACATTCTAATATAAGTTAAATATAATAATTCTCACATTACAACTATAAACTAAACAATAATAATTATAAGTAACTTTACAGAATTTAAATATAAATAAACACAGGAAGCCTTCAACCTGGAAAGACCTAGAAACATTTCGTCACCAAGTAATGTTAGTTTATTTTCAGTTAAAGAGCTTAAATATTATTATATTAAGTATTATATTTAAATATAAACCAACTAAATACTGAACAAAGTGTTAATATATGCGCCATAATAATAATCTGTAGAATCAAATATCAGAATTAATAAGCTTACGCTAAAAATCGAAACAATAATAAAAAGTTGCTCTTAAATACTTAACCTACAGGAACTCTAAGTAAGTAAGCCTCTCAAAAGCTCCGTTTCAATAAAAAATAATTCGTTTTCAAGTATAAGCCTATGAATTATATAGAAATATCATTATCAAGATCTTTTAAAGTTCAACAATGTTTAAATTTATATAAAAACTTTGTATTTGAAAAGTTGTAATAAGTGTAGGGCATAAAAAGTAGCTAACAACTGGGCGCAAGTTGGTTAGTCCTTGGAACACTTTTCTTCCAAATGAAGATATTCGGCATTCCCTTAGTACCTTTAATAACAATTTTTAAATAAAAAAAAATTAATACATTTTCTTATAATAAAAAATTGTATAAATATGACTTATCATTACTCTCAACGCTAGTAATTTCATATCAATAAGCATAAGTATAAAAAACAACAAGTGGCTTCAATATTTTAGTCCGATTAAAGCTTGGATGAAATTTCTGTAATGCGATTGTTGGAAAGGTCCTTTAATCAGTAAAGTATACAATTATTTTAATATATATTTATGACAACGCAACAATAGGAAATACTTGCTACTTAAAGCAGCACAGCGCATAATAGTATTAAGATAATAAATTGTATAATATTACAAGCTTTCATATAACAAAGCCTTCGAGAGATCATTTCCAAAAGATATTAGCTTATTATTACTTTTATCTCTTAAAATAAGCATTTAAAAAATTAACTGGTTTATATAGCAAACAAAAAGTCGTTAAAATAACTCAGATGGATACATGACGACTATAATTGCCTTAAAAAAATTACTACTTATAAATACTTCTTTAAAAAAAATTATTTAACAAAACCAAAATTATTTTTAAGTATTAGTCATTATTTCACTCAAAAAGCAGCAATAAAAATAATTAGCATATTCTTCTCATCCATCTCGGAATGTTTGTAGAAACTTTTTCAATATTTATGTTTAGTTTTAACAAAAAAAAAGAGAAAAAAGAATTTTATCTATACACAACTTCAGCACCATACGAATAATATTTTTTTTTAATACAAAATAATATATGAATTACCTTAATTATATACTAAAACTGCTATAAAAGGCACAACTTTCTTTTTATAATTAAAGCTAAATAACGATAAATATAAGCCTTACAACTCTTCTAAATAGCTTTGGTCCGCTTTGGGCTAAAAAATTTCTCTTTAGTTTCCTGAGAAAAATAAATAAAATATAGTGAATACTATACAGAATTTTATTGTATAATATTAAAGTTACGGATTTTAAATATTAATGACCGACTTTAAATTTATAAGTGATGCATGCATAACTCTATAATTGATTCTAGTAATATAAAAAATTATAATAATAAATTTAAAATTACTGGCTTTAATACCAAAGATTAATTTATTGGTTCATAAAAAAAAACAGAATTATACTCACTATTTTAAAATTAATATATTAACATTACACTAATGCAGAGTTCTCAAGTTGAAAAGTTCTTCAAAAGCGCCATTCTCAATAGATGTTATATTTTTTTTATTTAAGCTTCTTTAAAAAATATATATTAAACAAATTAAGTTAAATCTAATAAAATAGTTAAACACAAGGAAAGTAATAATACCAAAAAAATATCTTATGTTATTAATAAATTATGGATTTAATATCAATGACAGACTTCTACAGAACCCAGAAGAGGTAAGAAGAAAAATTATTGGACAGACTAAATAGGTCTTTAAAAAAATATTTTTAAGGTTATCTATTATATAACTGCTTCAAGTTTATAAATAATTATTTATAACTCTATAATCGATTTTAAATAAAAAAATAAATTATATAGAGAATAATATTATCCCTTTATATAACTAACTTTGTTTTTTTGGTTTTATTTTTAATTTTCGGTTTAACTAGAACTTTAATCGATTACTAAGTCCTGCAGACTAGCCTTAAAAAAAAAACTCCTCTCAGAGAAGTTAAGATTATCCCAAAGGGCTGGGAGTAGCTGAATTATCCGGCAGGACTACCATAATCCGAACTAGAACGGTGGAAAACCGCTAAATACCTCCACTAAAAAAGGTAGCCTCAAGTATTAGAACGAAGGCCAACCAGCCTGCAAAGCCATCCCATACCTTTCTGAAGTGTGTGTATACATATATATGGTCCGCTTATACCATTTACTATTTTTAAGTCTACAAATGTATCATAACATTTTACTAGAGTTTTATGCCTTTAAGACTGGCTTTCGAAGATCCCCTTTATACAATAATAACAAATATATAATAATATAAATTTAGTTACAGAACTCTCATCTGATAGAGGCCTTTAAAAGTGTCCTTTCCAATAAAGGCTATGTTGTTATTTTGTAACCTCCTTATAAAAGAAAAAACAATAAATTCGCTGGCAAAGTATTACTACTACAATATAATATTATTGTGAGAAGCTGCCATTAAATTTTTAAAAGTTTACAGATAAATTAATATGGTAAACCCCTTAAAAGCGTTCCTTCCCAAAAAAGTTATCTCATTTCTTTCTAAAGTTCTTTATAATAAAAATATATTATTACTATCATGCATATTAATATACACGTACGTAAATCATTAATTTAAAAATTATAGAGAACATGATAGTTGTTTAAGAAAAACAAAAAGATACATAGTTAAATTATTAATAAAAAGGAAAATATTAGAATAAAGACAAAATGAAGTGAGAATAAAGATCAAAAAGGTTTTCTAAAACAAAGATCTGTACGAATTTCTATTAATGAAATAGATGTAATTATAGCTATTTTTTTAAAAAAACAAGCTCACTAACCTTTAATGTGATGTTTACAACTTACAATTTGCTTATACCATTTAACTCTAAAAAAAATCTGGTTCGACTTTATTAATGGCTACCGCAATAAGATTTCTAATTATGATAATAATTAAAAAAAAGAGCTAAAGGAAACTGGAATAATTCTTAATAAAATAAAAATACTTCACTATAACATAAAAACAAAAAACTCAAATTAAAAATCTTAATATTATAAAGTTTTTTTGTTAAAAAAAAGTTTCAAAACCTGTTATAAACTATGCTATAATAAGAAAATTGTTACTAAACACCTACATGTAAGTGCACAAAATAATCTATTAAATACAAATTTAGAAAGAGCTTACAAATACAATGTAGATAAAGTAGCAGTGCAAGAATTGACACCAAAATAAGATTTACTATATTTTCCTGAATAATCTCTTTAAATTCAGAGTTTTATAAATTTATATAAGTAAATTCTTTTAGCATACGTCGATATTATCTTAATAGGGGCCTCCTCGTTGGACAAGGAGAGAAAAACTCGATGGAGAGGAATTCTTTAAATGCCATTACATAAGTTAAGACATAGAAATGCAAGATATAACTACTGCAATAAGACTATCAGATATCTGAATACATAGCTAACACCTTAATATTAACTTTAACACTTAAGTAAAATAAAGTAAGTAGTTTCTACCCTATGTGTAAAGAGAACTAGTATAAAGCCAAAAGTTAGTCTATAAACTTTTTTTAATTTTAACTTAAAGCAAAATGTTACAATAGCTTTATAAAAGCGAATGTTAATAGAACACATAATTTATAGTTCATAAATCTTAAGACCATAAGCCCCTTCTAAAATAAACTCTAGGATAGAAAAAATATCCTTGCAACTTACAGAAACTTAAAAGTAATGTTTTGAAATCATTTGTATAAAAAATGCTACAACTTTTTTAAATTCGGAGTGCTCCATAGCTGAGGTAATTTGCCATTAGCAAAGACAGTAACGAAAAGCAATAAAGCGACAAAAAATTTCATAACTAACGGGGTGGAGCCGAATTCAGAAAAAAAAGAACTTTCTAAATGTTTATAGCAATCGCCATATATCTATATATAAAATATTTAAAACTGCAACTGGTATTTTGGAAGTTATTAAAAAATATCTAATACTTGCACTTTTATTATGTCTTTATAAATAAGTGGTTATCCTTAAATAATATTATGTATTTACACCATCTATGAAGCATTACTTTTACTTAACGTGGTTCATTGAGATTTGTCTTAAAAAAAAAAATTTTATAACCTCTTTCATGCGTTAAGTAAAAAAATTTTAAGTTGTACGCAAAATAAATTAGCTACTCAGCGTAAAATACTACAAAAGCCTTGTTCAGCATTATACTTAAATTAAATTATTATGCGCTTAGAGTTGTAAAAAAAGTGTCAAATAGAACTGACACACTTTAACAGGTGCCTCTTAGGTTCAGTTTCGTACTAACAGTTTTATTAATGAAATTCATTTTTAGACAGTTAATTGTAGTTATACTTTACATTAATTTAAAATTGACAAGAGAATAACAGGTAATTTATCCAAATTATCTAGAGTTTCAGGTCTAGGAAATTTTTATAAAAAATCCCAACCATACAACCCTTCTATAAATTGCTAATTTGTAAACTAGGGTTGATACAGCCTTAAAGATTGTAAGGTTCTCTGACGATAATCAGCGTTAAAGAAGAACTTATTATGATTAAAATATATAGTGAGAAAAGCAAAAGGTAAATAACTAATCTGTGAGAAGAGTTAGTAAACCAGGATCTTAGAGCAAGAATGTGTTATAGAAACAGCATCGAATTAGCGCTCCCTAGTGCGTTATTAGATTAAACCGACTATCTTAAAATTATTATAATTCTTGGTTTCTCTAATGTAGTTAAGGCCAACATGTGCATACCATAAATTCTTAATCTTATTTAGTTGTAATGAGCACGCAATTAATTATTTTTTTCTCTGGCAGGTATATAAATTAAACGTCTTCTTCTTGGAAGGAACGAATTTTGTTATATCTTTATAATAAAGCGCATCCTGAGTTCTGTTACTCCGATTGTTATTTCGTGATCTTCCTAATTCTATTTTTCTACGATCTTAGTACTTTAGTGTCCTCTTCAGTTTCCTTTTTCCTGCGATCTAGTTCTACGTTCTTTGCTACTTTGCTTAACGGTGGTTCTTTCTGCCTAATATTAGTTACCCTCTATAACTGTCACTAGGTCACACAACAATACGGTTTTTATCTTCATAGAACTTTATAACCGGCTTGGTTATAACAGAATGAGCTTATGCACAACTTAACCGAAGAAGTGCACAGGAGGAAAAGAACTTAGGAAAGGACCTTTGCTTAATAACAGAACTTAGAATTTGAATTTAAAAACAAAGTAAATCAAAGAGAAAATATGTGACAGGCACGTTATGTAAAGAATGTAACAGAATCAAGCTCCCTCACCCTCATTGAAAGTCCTATATGTCTGCTTAACACCAAAAAGCGTAAGGACAGAAAATTATATTAGTCGCACAAATTATGAAATTATCCAATGAAGAAGACAAGGTCGTACAGATTCACAACACTAACTCTCTACCCCTGTCTTTTTCAATCGGTATTTTATAAAGGAATGAGTAGATGCAAAAAATCTTTTCAGGTAGTAAAAAGTTTACATCCTTCAATATACTGCATTAATTTTTGCCAGTAAAACCTTATTAACTCCACTTGTCGCCAAAGCTCCTTTTTTAATATTGGTCCCAAGATAACTGCACGCGCTCATAAAAATAAAAATTCCTGTTAGATTCCACTTTTCTTATTAGATTTTTTATTGATGTACTATAAGTTAAGGAATTATTACTAAGCACGACTGGCAAACATGACCTAAACTAGATAACTAAATTCCATTGATTATACCTCTAGTAAGCACGTGAAAAAACCAATATATAAATTATTAAAATGTTGAAACGCCGTATATTCCAGTCTTTCAGCTTGCGCATGAATTAGTGTTGTCTGTTTCACTGGGTGTTGCTTTTTACTGCTATTAGAAACCTAATTTTAATAGATTGTTTTATATTTTTATATATTGGAATCTGTCTTAACTACTTGCTTTTCTCCTCTGTCTTCTTTATTCCGTGTTTTTCAAGGTTGCTTAATATAAATATCTTTATTGATATATATATATATACTAAATGTTTTTAAGCCTATTTTATAATACATAAGTAATAATTATTGTACTTAATAATTTTTAAGTTTTATGTAGCTGATCAAAGCTTGCACATTAAAGCATTTTTTATAAATTTTTTTTCTAAATTATTGCTGAACTGTTTGAATTTTTACTAGCTTAGTTAAATATTAAATTAAAGAAAGTAAATAAAAAACTTTTTATATTAACTTCTAGGAATGATGTGTCCTGGAGCCATATTAGCTGTCCTTTTCTCATTAATAATAGTACATTCTTTTTCTGTGGAAAATTTGCAGCTTTCTACAGACTTTGTTAATCGAACTAACAATGAAAGCTATACAAAGATCTTAGCAATACGACAAAAATTATTTGCGGATTTACCAGACTTGTTATCTACGGCGCGTGTCGCACTTCAAGAACAAATAAAATTAAAAATTAAGGAAGAAGTTGATACCGATAAGTTATATTTGGTTTATGGCCCACCGCCTATTGGATCCAAAAATC